GCAGGTTGGTCGTGTATCAAACGAGACATTGGAATCAGCCCCGTTTAGCAGGCTGGTCATAGATGACTCTTGGAATCAACCCTGTTTAGCAGGTTGGTCGGAGTTCCCAGACCCCTAGGCCCCATTGTTGGCAGTCCTAGGACACTTTATCTCTCTCCCACCCCACATTCCGTGGCCCGGGAACCCCAAGTTTGGTAGTTTGCAACTACTGGAAGCTCTTAGGACAGTTCTATTCGAACATCTTTGAATTGATCTCTGTCCCAACCCCCTTGAGGAGTTCAATCTTACCTGTATACTTCAGGACGACCCAAACTTACTTGTTAGCACTTCATATTGGTTGTGTTGTTGGTGTGTGTGTGTTGGTTGGTTTTGGTGTCTGTTTCATAGCAGCATCTCAGTCAGTCCTAGGCACGGCCATACTTAGATGCACCGTTTCAGCGGTGCTCGGTATGCGCCTTTCATGCTTCTTTTACCGTTTTCCGGAGCGATCACAACATGATAGCTCACAGCAAATCGGTGCGGAGTTGACGCGGCATTGACATGCATTGACACACATTGACGTGCTACCGACGTGCACTGACACGGAAGTTGACACGGTTTCAGCACGGTATTCTGAACTCATGGTGCAGTTCTTCCTGCTCAAAAAACTCAGAAGAATGTTCAAAAACATACCCCAGTAGCCTGCCATCAGACAGAATATCAGGGACCTTTGTATGGACTCAAGTACCATTAGGTCGGCCTCAAAATAATACATGTTGTGTGTAATCTGGGCTAATTTATCCTGAGAAAAGCCCAGGCATCTCCTTTACAGCGATTTGAGCAGTTTTCAACGGGAGAAAGTGCTGCGTTGAAGTTGAGCAATTGGTGCGTCAATGCACGTCAATTTCTCTGGATGTTATATTTGTGCACACGGACTTCAGTCTGTCTCCGATCTCCGACCTCCGACCTCCGAATGTTCAGAGATCGGAGACGGAAGATCATCGGCTTTTTACACAATGAAGGATTACTGAGTGTTTCCTGTTTACCTGTTTTTCCGTTCCTTCTCAACTTCTCGATTATTGTTTTGCTTACTCAGCTTACTTCTTCATCCAAATTTGGACTCTCATTTATTGTTATGTTTTGATCTACCATATTTGGGTTAACAATAACTGACTTAGTATAAATAAGGTTTAATATCCTCATGTACTTCAGTTTGATTATAAATGTTGTTTTGCTTCCGAGTCTTCCTCCAGTGTCCCTTCGGACTCTGTCTACCTCTGTCTTCTCCATCGGCCTAGGATAGTATGCACACCCTGACCTTCCTGTGGTGTTTGCGCTCATCTTTGATATCTCCGACCTCCGGTCTCTGGTCTCCGACCTCCGATCCTTCAACCGGAGACCTTCGGTGATAGCCCCCCTCATCGGCACGGGATATAACACCAGACCCGCTATGGGTTAGGACGGCTTCGACTGTGTATATAATACAAAGATATTGTAACTAAGTGATGATATTGGAGTTGATACATAATGCCCCGGGCATCACTCGGGCAAGCCACCAGCTGATCAGAATATAGTGGAGTATTTCAGAACATTATATCATTGTGGAGTGTAACCCCGTATAATACCGCCTGTCTTTGTAATGGCCTTGACTATACCTCGGCCTTGCAGTATATATAAGGTGCACACTTTCTCTGTATTGTTCAAGTGTTTGCAGAGCTCAGTCAAGCATTAAATATCATTTCATTTGATCATACATATTTGTCTGATTCCTCAACCGTAAAACCCAACAGATGATCAAAGTATGATAGATGTATGTGTTCCGGCGCGGGCGTCTTGTCAGCTGTCCTGCAGAGTGGGAAGTGGGGGCCTAACATTGAACCTCTGCTATACATTTAGTTGGGCCATGACTCTATTCATGTCATTATCCAGCTTTTCAAATCTGGAAGACCAGGTCAGGCCGCGATCATGGGAATGTGTTATCCCACTATTGTGTCACGGTATGGCACAAGAATATCAAATCCTGAAGGACAGGACAGGACGTGACCGTGATACTCTGACAACTCACGATCACATCCCTGTTGCCTACACACTCTGATTCAACCATCAAATCTCGAAGGACAGGACGGCACATGACTGCGATACGGCGACAACTTGTGATCACATCCCTGTCACCTAACCCCTTTCTGGTTTCAACAACAACATCCCTTTACGCTCCCCATAGGGTATATTGAAACATAACACATAGGGTAGATACGATCAAACTCCTAGATATATTCATATATAAACCTGAGGTAGAAACTCCTGTACTTTAGATTCTACCTCGTCTAATCTCAGGCTTTACTTTTGCTTGACTCTTGTTCCCTCAGGATTACGAGGGACACTGGATTCTCACCTGTGGCGTCACATACAGTGCTGCCTATGACCTCATATAATCTTCCTTAGCAGATATCACTCTGTCTTCGGCTCCTACCAGTTTGTAAGGCTGCTGCTTCAACCTTACTACATTCCTCGGCACTGTCCAGTCTTTTCCTTTCAGGATTGGTTCAGCCTTGTCGTCTGAATTGTATTACTGCCGGTCCCCTTCAGCCTTGGTCTTTTGACTGATCCTCATTTGATTATTGGATTCTCACATCATCAACTCACCCTTATTCTCCTCGACGATCCTATGCATTCCTCTTACCTTCTATATTGCTATTGTTGAGTCCTTATCTTACATTCTGATTTATACCGTATGTTATACTCTGATTTATATCTTATGTTACATTCTGTTCTGTTCTGTTACGTATCTGATCACACATTGATTGTGACCGTAGATTAGTTACAGATCTTCTCTTCTTGGTCTTGACCACCATGTACCTTTCACTAGTGGCTGCTCTTGAATGACCACACTATTGTTCTGTCATTCTTGGCTCCTCTTAGTTCTGTCTGGCCGACCCCTCTAGTGTTGACTGCCTCCACAATACGGCAGCCTTCCACAGTTCCCACCTGCACAACACTCGTGGCCTTACATCCCAGGACCGAACAAGGAGGCTGTTTGTCTTGTATTACTACTTGGCGACTGCACAGGTTACTAGACGGGTTGCTAAACCCCAGGCAGGATTACTCTTTTAGGACAACTCAAGCCGACCCATAAGCTGTCGTTGACATCAAGGAGGGATTTTTCTGGTGCGGCCAGAACAAATGTGTTCTTGTGCATCAGCATCTCTAATGAGTCCTCCGTCGTCCATTGGAGGCACACATCGGTGAACCAGAATATGGGGTGGTGTAGTCAATATTTGATGGCAGTGAGCAAGAACTCTGGCATGGAAATGGTGGGACATGTTAGCGGGTTCATCTGTGTGGCGTTCAACATCACCATGGTTCCCTTCAGCTCTGAGCCCTTTTCCATTTGCAGCCTTGTCCTCCTCCTTCTTCTTCTCTGCCTCTTTGGCACGTTTGTCATGTTCGGCCAGCAAGTATTTCAGTCAGTCTGGGAGGAATGGAGGCAACCACCTGTGTGCAGAAAGCCTCCGAGACGACCATCCTCTCTATCTCCTACAGTTTTTACTTGTAATATGCAATCAGTTTCACGCCAATGTCTTGTGTGTTCAGCGGGGCATTGCTGCTCTTCACAGCTGTCTCGTGAGCTCTTGTGGTGCAAATGCTGATGTGATTGGCTGTCTGTGCATCCCAGTTATACTGGTTCTACTCCTGCAGGTCCATGTTGTCAGAAATGGCAAGGTCTTTCGGTTCCTTCCTCCAGGCACTGAAGTCGAAATTGGCGTCCAGCAGGAGGTCGAGATTGCAGACTGATTTGGACTGTGTGATGGAAGGAAGAAAAATAAGGTATGAGTGGGTATGAGCTGAGGGATGGAGCTGGAGGCAGAGACACAATGAACACGTTGAGAGAGGAGAGAATGATCTCAAAGTGATGTATTGATCTGAATAGGTAAGCTATAATCTAATCTCCTTTATCTCCCACTCAGGCTGAATTGCAAGCTTGTCGACCTGAGCTAAGATGGACCTCATTCATCACGAACCCACCCCACGTGACCTTCCAAATTGGGGTGGCTCGGCCCTTTTCCACATTTTCCCAGCAATGAGTGTGCTTGCATAAAAATATGCCTACGAAGATTCATTTAGTTCGTTCCCAATTGAATTACTGTAAATTTTCCTGTCATAAAAGCTCTGTTTCTGGTGAGCTGAAAGCAAATTACGGTGAAAATTACATACAATCTCAATACAATCCCTTGTTTCCCTTTCACAAGTACTGGATCCTTACCAAATATTATGGGGAGCTCAAGGAATTTATTTAAGGTATACTATAACAAATCTTCGTATTTATTTTCAGCCTCCGACCCTTTCTGCGTCCTTAAAGGTGTCCGGATGTGCCATCAGCCTCAATTAGGAAGTCACGTGGGGTGGTTTGCTTATGAGTGAGCTCTATCTTAACAGCCATGGAGTCCTTATTGTGCATGCGAGAGCATGGCTAATAAATAATCTTGCTGCAGTGAACACCAAAATGGCTTGGGTGCAATCTTATGCTGACAAATAGGTTTTGACACACCCTGGTCCCGTATTCGACTGCTGCAGCAGCCATCAACACTTTTTGCAGCCTTGATGCCTGGATACATGAAAATGACCAAAATACCATGCTCGTGAGATTAGAACCAAGTTGATACATTATGAGTGTATGGTTCCACGGTATTGGGGTGGATACTGCAACTTTGCGAGTGTCTTGTTGGGTATGGAGGCTAACAATACAACACCTGTGTGATTCAATGTGATTCAGACAGTGTCAATTCAGGTGAGGAACCCTGGGGCCCAGAATGGCTCACCTTCATCATTGTAAGTGCTCAAGAGAAGTGGTGGTTGAAAGATACTCAATGAACACCCTATATATAGCAAATAAATGCAACCAATAGATAAGATAAGGGCAGACACACTGCCTTACAAGCATGTTATGGTGTTGGTGTAGATGAGCAGTACATGTGTTCAGCTGTTGCCAGGGACTTAAAAAATAGTCAGAGAAGCAAAAGATACGACACCTGTGCAATTCGAACACACGCGGGAGATCCCAACCGCTGAACTACTAAATATAGCAGGCGATCGCCTTAACCACTCGGCCAAAGTGTCATTTTCTGTTTTTTATGGAATCTGGTCACTATCACCATGGCCTGGAGGATGCAGAAGGTGCAGAGCAGTTATCTAGATGTGCTGGAACATCAGGGGATGATCCATGAAGGCATGGCGAAGCTGCAGCCATGTAACACAGGAATCACCTTAACCATCCTGCCAATGATTCTAACCACTGCATACCTTCCCTACAGTTTCAGAACAGACATCTACATCCACTACATCATCTGAGAATGTCCTACAGAGCCAGGAAGAAGGCTGCAGTGTTAATTGTCTTAACCGCTTAGAGGGATGTAAAACAGACATCTAGATGCATTCAGGTTTATGACCTTCTCGCCTCAGAGGGCCTTGTGTGACTCATGTTTCAGCTGCTACACTTTCCCCAACCCCTCGATAATGTTTTTGAAGGCCTTAGACCCTATTCATTTTTTCAGCTCTCCAGGGGACCCCCCCTCCCCCCCCTTCCCCCAACCTGGTATCCCAAATTTTAATCCCAACACCCCTTGACCTTATGACTAATTAAATTCAGTATTTGAAGGCCAATGACTTTTCTTATAATATAGTGGACCTTGTACTACTCTCTGTCTTTATGAGAATGTACAGGCTGAGTTTGAGTCATTGGTATCTCTAGAATTATATTAGAATACGACTGAGTCTAAAAAGTACAAAGCAAAGCAAGTTGAAACCACTAATATTAGTACATGTAATATAAGATCAGAATTATATGTAAACCACCCAGGTGAGTCATTGGTATCTCTAGAATTATATTAGAATGCAACTGAGTCCAAAAAGTACAAAGCAAAGCAAGTTGAAACCACTAATATTAGTACATATAATATAAGATCAGAATTATATGTAAACCACCCAGGTGAGTCATTGGTATCTCTAGAATTATATTAGAATGCAACTGAGTCCAAAAAGTACAAAGCAAAGCAAGTTGAAACCACTAATATTAGTACATATAATATAAGATCAGAATTATATGTAAACCACCCAGGGTGAGTAATGCTATGATCTTTCCCCTCAAGTACAGTTTGTTTACATTGTTCTCCCCTGCCTAGTCTAGGGTCCCTTGTATCTTTCTGGTCTGCCCAAATTTCTGACTTAGATAAAACTGCTCAAAAGTGTAAACCTGGCTTGGTTTTTCTACCATCATGCAGCTTATGTACATGAGTTGTGTTGTCTGCCTGCCTTGTCTGTCATCACACACACTGGTTGAACAATTCAAGTTTATCAGTGAGAAATTTGGTGAAAAATGTTTTAAAATTTTCAGAAGTTTTTTGCCAAAAAAGTAGGTGAAAAACCCAAAAGGTTTTCAGCACTTTTTTCACTTGGAAAGAAGGTGAAAAATATGAAACAAAAGTGATGTTTTCTTTGGAAGTTTTTCAGTGAGAAATCTGGTGAGAATGTTTTAAATTTTTCAGAAGTTTTTCTTGGCAAAAAAGTAGGTGAAAAACTTGAAACTTTTTCAGCACTTCTGTCACTTGTAAAGAAGGTGAAAAATGTGGAACCAAATTGATGGTTTCTTTGGAAGTTTTTCAGTGAGAAATTTGATGAAGATGTTTTAGATTTTTCAGAAGTTTTCTCGCCGAAAAAGTAGGCAAAAAACTTGAACCTTTTCAGCACTTTTTTCAGGATAATTCTATTCAGAAGCCTGGTTGCAGGCCCTTTATAGAAACCCAGCTGGTAATTTGTTTTGAGAGAGGGTTTCTCGTTTAGCATCACCAGCCATCAATCACCCAGCCGCATGTGCCGAGCCCTGCCGAGATTTCGCTGGCCTTGCCACCTATCTATCTTTTTGGTCCAATTCAGCCCACAGGGAATTGTCTCTGAGGTTCCATTTCATAATATTAATGCTCTAGGCAGAGAGATCCTGGTCAGTCAACAAAGCAAAATGTGAATTACAGTTGCAATTTCTTGCATTATAAAAAGTAGGTGAAAAACTTGAACCTTTTCAGCACTTTTTTCACTTGTAAAGAAGGTGAAAAATGTGAAACCAAATTGATCATTTCTTTTCAAAGATTTTCACATACTAATTCATACATATCTGGGGGCAAAACCCGAGGTGAAAAACTTGAAACTTCCTTCTTCAAAAATTTCACCACATTTGCACTGATAAAGAGACAATCAAACATGTGAAAAAGATGTGATGAAAAGTGATGAAAAACTTGAAATGCAGGTTACAAATTTCTCAACATTTTTGCCAGTGATTTATTTTTACATTTCCAACTGATAAGTTTGTACACCGTTTGTGTGGAGAAAATCAGGTGCAAAACTTGAATCAAGTTGGCTCAAATATGTTTCAAGTTATACAGGTGAGGTGAGGTGTTTCCAATTGTTTTTGCAGGAAGTGTAGAACGTGGAGACCCCAGTGGGATATTGATCGGCCAGGTCACAAGAATTGGTTGACCTGTCAAATGCCGACCCGGCCAGGTCACAGACTTGGTTGACCGCTGTAAGAATGGGAAATATAGGGGAATTGCCTTTTATATTTTTCTCCCTCTACGAATACTCTGAGTAACTCTCTGTAATTCTCGTCGCATTGTACACCCCAGCCAGCTGGCCCGCCAACTATGAATGGCCGCTATCACAGGCGCCATTGATCCGAGGCTGGCGAATCTTCCAGGCGGAAGCAGACTAATGGGGCAACTGCCTCGCAGGTCTCGCTTAGCGTCTCACGCTCAGCATCATCACCGGTGCCAAAACAACTATTCTCAAAGGAGCAGGTCGCTTCTTGGGCCGCCTCCAACTACGCACCTCTACGAGACGCGACTGAGACGTGTTTGGACTACGACGAACGTCTGTGAGTCGTAATACGGAGGATACTATTCTTTTCACTCATGGTTAACAGCACACATGTCTCACACAAGGTTCCTTTGGCCGATGCGTGTGCTAGGCTCAACATAGCCGTCCCAAAGACGGCGAGTCTAGAGAGGCTTTGTACGGAGTTGAGCAGGCATTAGTGCGTCACGACTTGCTGAATCCCTTGCTTGCCCCTGACCTATTTCTCCCAGGTTCTCGCCCGTATCCGGTCGCACCCCGGCCCTATCCACTGGCAGTCGTCCACAGCAATTCTCAACCTCAGTACGACGTGCTACTGGCTCGGCAGAGGTGCTCGTGTCTGTTCTAGCACCAGCTGGGCAAACTTTCCACTTCCCTGCGCCCACTGGCGCTCTCCCTGCCACGTCCTCGAATGCCCGTGGCGAAGTGCGAGGGACTGTTCCTCTTTTCCATTTCACAGCGCAAAACATGACCACCGGCGCATCTTCGTCCATAGACGTACCCCACGGTGCAGCATTGACCGCAAAGCCCAGGGACAGAAGCAAGCACGCTGTTCGCTCTGCCTCCCGCCAATCCTCTCCCATCAGCGGCGCTATTGCCTCTACCTCGTGCATACCAATCTCCTCGCGTCGCTCTCCCCCTGCTGCTGGCACCTCACTGCAGCCCGCCGTTGTGAGCCACCGTCCGTCAAGCTCCAACAACGCCATTGTGTCAAGCTCGCGGATCCCAGTCTCCTTGCGCCACTCCTCCCCTAGGCCGTTATTCCTCCCCAACGACCGCCCCCCGCTTCCGCATCCAGCGCTTCAGCTGCCCGGCCACCTTTCACATCTCACCGTCCCTCCCCACCCCTTTGTTCCACCCCTGCACACACCACACTTGCAGCGGTAAATAATTCTGCACCTGCACCCACACGATCCACATCCGACCCAAACGAAGTGGACCTTCAACAGGTCCCCGTCATCGACATTGTGCCGTTTCAAGAGGACGAGGACGACGGCAGCGACGAGGCAGCGCTGATCCGCGCCTACGATGTCGCCGGCTCGAGCACTTACGAGCTGCTGGGATACAATTCCATGACGATGATGAGGAGGATGGGGATTATAAGGGGTGGGATGATGGTGATAACGATGGGTCCGGCTCAGACAGCGATTCAGAATCCGGCTCGGATGAAGAGGGTAGCGAGTCGGGCTGCGACAACGATGCTCCGGAGCTTAATTCTGCCCAGAAGAAAGCATTCCGCACTCGTGTTCGTGTCGAAGCAGTGCAGCGTGCAGAAGGCAACCGTCGGGCTGGAGGGCTCAAAACACAGACGGCCATGGTTAAAGCGTGGAATGTAAGCTTCCATTTCTTATCTCGCATTGCTTTACTGATGGATCCATGGCAGGAGTTTGTCGAGATTGCCCTGGCTTCATGGGAAATAGACAACAGGATCGTCGATGAGCATTCCCTCCTGCTCTACATCAAGTATTGCGCAGAGCGAAACAAGTGCACCCGAAAAGGTGTTCCTATCGAAGGAACATTCCTCGGAGCAGTACGCCGTCCCTTGTGCTTCAAGTTTTTTGTTTACTGATTTGCAGAAATAGTCTCACCTGAAGAAACTCTTTTTCGGAGCATTACAAATCCACAGGGAGCAGGATGCTGCTAATACGTCGCTGGCCCTCAGGCGCCCCGCAGTATCGGTCTTCGTATACGACGCGATCAAAAATTGGATGGATGAGTTGCTGCAACGTGTTCGCAAGTAAGTATTACGTGACAGCCTTCTTCATTGACCTTACAACTCTCTCGTAGTGGACGTGTCCCAAACGAAGATGCTCCGGAAATTCGGGCAAATACCTGGCTTTCCGAGGTAACTGAAGAGCAGCTCGTGAGCGTCAACCAAGGCTTCCTTGCTCACAAGCACCATAAGTAATTTATTCGATTTCTGCACGTCTAGAACCTGACGGGTCCCCTTCCAGTTCGCTTGTCCATCTTCGGGCACCTCTCGTGGATGACGCAAAACACATCCGGTAACCGAGGTGATGACTTTCGTGTGCTGAAGCTTGCCGAACTGCAATGCACACGCTGCTCCATCCGGACAAGTGCACGGCTATGCCATCTATCCTCGGGCTGCAAGGGGAGGAGAAGGCCGGGAAGCGGGGGATGTGTACCGTAAGTCATTACTAACTGTCTCATTTTTCATTCCAGTCTGACAGATTCAAGGTGATCAATCTGGTTTACTC